GCTACTGTTGCAAAAGCACTAGCTAACCAAGGCTACCAGCTTATAAAACTGGGATTTACACTAGATGAGCACGACAACGACACGGGGTTTCAACAAGATCTCCGGCAAATGTCGAAAACGCCCACTTTGAATCTGCTGCATCTTTATGTGATCCATCGAAGACTCGATCAAGGCTGTTGGACGGATCAGCTCTTAAGACTTCCAGGACTGTGGCCTGAATCGACTTAAATCTTTGTCTCCAGACCCTGGCCCAAAAAAGCCCGGACCGGAAACCAACCTTTCCTTCCATGGCTTCCATGTTCTCGAGGAATGTCACTAACAGCTTGGACCGGACACGACTTCCGAACCTTTTGAAATGGTAGGCGAAGGCGATTTCTCTCAACTCCTCCATCTACTGGTCTGCCCGGAGTACGGAGCCTGGACGTGGGAGCTCCTTCCTTTGCAGGTTTTGTTGCTGCCTTCTAGTCACGACCATGAACGGTTTCAGGAAAAAGCACCGTCCTCCTTCGGCTTGTCTGCTGCATGCCGCCGCTCTGCTGCATCCCGCTTATCTTGCGCATCCCGCTTTTCTGATGCATCCTCGGGGTGCACACATGCCATGGCCGCCATGGCCAGGGCGGCTGGGCAGCTGCCACAGCAAAGCGGGGGCCCTTTGCGTAAGTCGCCCGCAGGTCCAGCTGCGCCGCCTGCGCCAGCTCGGGCCTCGTGCTGCTGCGAAAGCCACAGTGCAATAGCAATATCCGAGCTCCCAGCATAGCCGTTCTGCTGCCCTTGCTGCGACTGTACCTAATTCTGTTGCAAAGGAACGGGCAGCAAGCACCAGGTTTAAGCTTGCTGCAAGATGTGTACAGAGGAGTTGGGGGCCAATCGCGTCGGTTCCTGGCCCGCCTCTGGCGCTTAGCCTGCAGACTCCCCAGATTCCCCTCGCCCCAGCGCCTAAAAACCCCACACTATCGTGACTAGTGCCCCCCCCCCCCCCACTGTTCGTGACTCTTTCTGCAGCCCTGGTTCTGGTGGCGGAGCCTCGCCTCTTGGGAGATCCAGTGCTGATACACCACGTGCAGCTCCTCTTTAAACAAAGGCGCAAACTTTCCCCCATTTTTCAATCGGCAAGAGCTCATGACATCAGCGGTTCTCTGTCCTGCAAGAGCTCCAAGACCAATGCCTTCTTTTGCCAACTTCGCCAGACGATCAAAATCTTTCATGTTCCGGGTGAGCAGGCCTGGTCTCCGCTGGCCAGAGCAGCCTCACAACTTGCGTGGTGTTGGACCAAGCCCGATCTTTACAAATCTCGCACATGACAAGGTGATGGCCAGAGCAGCATTGTCCAGCTCAACGGACATGCGGCGCAAGCCCTTGGCAACCTTGCGGGAAAACATGAACCAAGGAATTCGAGTCTTTTCGAGCACTGTGCGACGCCGCGAATAAACTGCCACTTCATCCCAACATCTTCATCTTCTTGAAACTCAGAAACGGTCCGGAACCTGTCCGGATTCGGAGCCGCTAGCAGCTCGGCATCGGTTCGAACCGGTCCCGAGCAGCTCCCAGCCGTTCCCAAACAGTTCCGTTTCCGCACGGCTCCGAACCAGTTCCGAACCCATTTCGCAAACGGGTATATCTCGGACCTTCCGAGGTGACGCAGAATCACATCACAAACAGCTGTTAATCAAACCCTGCGCACCAAATTCCCAAGCAGGTTTCCGGCCACTTTCTACTAATTCTCGAGGGCCTGTCCGCAAACAGGTTTCGCTCCGCCGATGTTGCTGGTAAGATGTTTGGTACAATTTGGGAAGCATCGGGAACAGTTTGGGAAGTGTCCGGGAATCACTTGGGAAACATTCGATCGGGAATTGTTCGGAACAGTCCGGAACCGATTCGGAACTTTTCGGAATCCGGCCAACACGATCCCTCCCTGAAGCCTGCCATTCAGGAAAAGGACCAAGGTTCGGACAATGCTGGGAGTTCGGAACCATTCGGAACTTGTAGTTTCGAACCGGTTCGGAACGATTCCAAGCTGGTTCCGAGCCACTTCCGAAGAGTTCCAGGACCGGTTACGAAGCTTGCTCCGATCGTTCCGGCGCCACGATGCTGTCGGCTCAAGCTTGCAAGATCGTTAGTTCAACTGGAGGCGAGACTGGCTTCTTTCCAGCGTCTCATGATTTCTTCTGCAAGCCATCCGGGCATCATAGTGGCATACTTTCCTTACACGAAACCATTCCTTGTGGCAAGCGGACTTGAATAGTCTGGTTGAGTCGGACGTTGAGGTCCTCCTCGTCTGTTCCGTGAGCAGAAAGGTTCTCGTACAAAGCCCGTCCTTGGCCAATCGGGTTGGTCCTTCAAGCATTTTCGCTCGGAAAGAAAATCTCGTTCATCCGATTTAAGAACACGAACTGAATGCAATGCAATACTTGCAGCACTCTAAATCAAGTGCAGAATGCCTGGTTTGCGAATTGAGATGGAGAGCACAAATCCTTCAAAGCTCAGCTCATGACTGCAAATTTAACATCGATCGTTCTAGCTTGACGAACCGTTCGACAGTTGAGCACAGCTCTTTTCGCAAAAGTAGCAGGCTTGGCACGCGAAGATATAGGAAAGGGTCCGAACCAGATGCTAGTTCGGCCACTGCATCCAGAGTCCTATGATGGTGAGATGGGTACTAGCGAGTGTTCAACCAGCCTGTGTCCACGTCTGCTGTGGCTGCCCGGCATGCGACGTCAGCTTTTGTTTGACCTCAGGCAACGAAACGACCTCGTCACCTTTCGATATAGCGTGATGCATTGAGATCCAGCTGATTTCTGATCCGACAGCACGAACCTACTGCAGGGCATGTAGTGTCCCCACCCGTGGTCGCATGACTAGGGCATCGGTTCCTCTGAGCACAGAGGTGCTTGTCGCTTGCCACCAAGATGAGACCAGGGCAGCATGCTTTGAGAAGATGGCATTGAGTAGATCCACAAAGGCCTTCCGGATCTGATCTCGCCTAATTACTCGTCGCGCCTTTATTTGCCCGGTGTCGGCCTCGCCAGACACCAGATTTGCCTATGCTGGATGGCATGAGCTCATGAGCATGCTGCATGGGACTCGGATAATGACCACGTCCAAAGCCGAGAGACCACAAGGCGGCCCGGAAGCACGTGCGGTTTGCTGCTTTGGCCTCAGTACAATCACCAGTCAAACAAGCGGAAGGCGATGTCCTGTCAGGCTCCAGGCTTTGTTTGCCCTTCAAAGTGCCGAGGTCCACCAGCCAGGAATGCAATTCGTAACTCACCTCTGCCGAGCAGGTTATTTCCTTTGTCACAGAGAGGCTTGTGCGGCAAGTACTCATAACTGTGAAGTCCAAGCTGCAGGGCCCGGAAAAGAACGGGAATATTTTACCCGTTGGGGAAGCAGGACAAGGAAAGGATTCTGCATCTCAGGTTCCGCTTCTCGCGTTTGAGAGTTGCCTGTCTGGAGTCTTTGGAACTGACGCTCTTATTGAAGTTGTTCAAGTTGCTTTTGTTTCGAACGAACTGATCAACACAGCATGCAGCTTCCTCTTGGCTGTAGGGTGTGCCACCCGACGACATCATCTTATCTCAGCTTGGGGCATCTTTTGCTGCTTGGGGTTCCGTTGATTACCTTTTCGGGCTGAGGGTTTGCCACCCGACAGCTTCTTTTAGGGTTTCGGGCTTGGTTGTAGGTTTGCTGGCAATCATCACCCAACATCTTCCTTCAGATTAGGGCTTCTTTTGCTGTTTAGGGTTCCGATGGGGTTTGCCACCCAACATCTTCTTTTAGGGCTTCGGGCTTGGTTGTAGGAATTGCCACCCAACATCTTCTTTTGGGTTAGGGCTTCTTTTGCTGTTTAGGGCTAGGGCTCCGTTGACTACCTTTTCGTGCTGAGGGTCTGCCGCCCGACATCTTCTTTAAGGGATTCGGGTTTGATTGTAGGGTTTGCCACCCAACATCTTCTTGTGGGTTAGGGATTCTTGTGCAATTTACGAGTAGGGCTAGGGTTCCGTTGACTACCTTTTCGGGCTTAGGGCTTGCCGCCCGACATCTTCACTCACCCCAACTTCGCACATCAGTCACAGAATTGATTCCGACAACTCCTCGCGTGCCTCCGGAGGTGGCACTGGATGCATCTGGCAACGAGCCAGAATTTGGACAGTCATACTCGTGCACCTGCTTGCGAGGAGCCTTTCCAGCAGGCACCTCCGTCCGTCACCCATGGAGACGCTTCCACCTGAAATGGCGACACAAAAACTTGAGGCACTTTAGCAGACTCTAGCAGTGGAAACCGAGAGGCCTGTGCAAAGCCATAGCAGTACGGTAAGTTGCAAACAGAACAGCGTACTCTTCGAAATCTGGCTGTATGATAGGCTTCTAGGAAATCTTGGCAAACTCAACGACGACCATTGATGCAACGTGATGGAAGAAGACTTGCGCCAGCGGCTGTCGGAAGCTGATCGGCAAGTCTGTGGGGTCGCGGTCGTGCCTGCAGAACCTGCACTACTATAGTGTTAGTTACTAGCCGCACTGTATTACGGTGCTGCGGTTTGCAACTTTTCGGAGTTGGCACCGCGCTTGGCGTCCTATGCACGCCCGTTGTGCGTGGTGTCCCTGCCGATTTGGGTGGCCCCGACGCACCGCCTTTGGCGGAGTCGGAACGTTAAACGTCTAAGTCTAGGTTCTGCGAGCTTCAACATGTGCCGGCACATGACACTTGCTGACAGCTGTACTTCTTAAAAGAAACACGGCAACGACATTCCACGTCTGCATCTCAGGAACCCTCAGTCTTCTTGCAGCCTGGCCCGAAGCCTCAGTTGTTGCGACACAGCCCGAGAGCGCAAAGCGCGAAAGTTTGGGAGAGCGCGGAATTCTGGAAATGGAGTTCCCTTGCGGCTTTGCATTGGCTGGAAGCTCCGACTGAGCCTCCGTACTTCTGAGCCTCGTCCTCGGCCTTTTGCCGCAGCAGCCGCTCCTGTGGCAGCCAGCATCCCTTTTTCCGTCCGCCGTCCTCAGTCCGCCACGCCGCGCGCCTGGTGCAGCTCCGCCTTCAACTCTCGGGCTCCTGCAGCGGCTCCTGGTGGCCACTGCCATGCCACGGCAGCACGACGGCAGCACGAAACCCCAGAAGGTGAAAGGCAAAGATGCTTTCCTGTGTCAAGGACCAGCTCGGCCGCCCTGCTGGACACCTTGCTGGACCTGTCAGTGCAGGCCGCAGGGAGAGCCCTGCCCAAGCCGGCTCAAAAGGCGGCACTTACGCTTTCTCCGAGGCTTTTGCCGGTGCGAGACTCGCGACGATGTGCGGTCCATCTGACAGGATGTTCGCCGAATCAAAGGGAAATTGCCAGGGCTTGCTTGATTCATGCGGTCTTACAAGCAAAGGTCTTCTGAGAACGGAGCATCCGGCAGTGCTGAGGTGAAGCTAGAGCCTGTGCTCCTCATCAAAGTGTTTGACACCGGATCTGCGTAGGGGTGTCTGAGCTACTGCCTAAAGGTAAGTAGGACCCAGTGTTCGCAATGGGGGTGGCGGGTCCAGCAATCCGAATACGGGGTTGCTATCAGCTCTATCAGGATTAGGCAAGGTTTGGGGTTGTTCAGGTTTTCTGCAGGATTCAGTACTTTGCGTTGCTTCGGGTTTCTGATTGTTGAGGGTTTTCGGCTCCGCCTGTTTAGGGTTTAGGGTTTTCAACTTGCAATTATTGAGGGCTTTGACTTGAGTTGTGTAGGGCTTCGGATTGTTTGGCTTGGGCTGCTTAGGGTTCGTGCTTACTGAGTTTAGGATTCCGTGTTTCCTCGGGGGGTTTGCTCTTCGGGTTCGGGGTTTGGGGTCGGTTGAGGCTTTGGGCTTCCTTTTGGGTTGGCGGCTGTGCTTCTTTAGGCTTTGAGTCTTGGGGTCTCTTCGGCATTGGGATCATTGACGTTTGTGTTTAGGTTAGTTTCGGGTTTAGGGTTGTTTCAGGTTTACGCCCTGTGCTTGTCTACTTTGGGTTTGGGATGTCGTGCTTCTTCGCGGTTGGATTTGCTCAACTTCAGGCTTGTTGAAGGACTAAGAGCTGTTTAGGGTTTTGGGTTGCGGGTTCGGGGCTTGAGGTCGCAAAAGTGTTTTGGTTTATTAAGACGTCCGCGAGCAGCCAAGGCTGAATGACACAAAGCGCTTGTCGCTGAAACTTTAAACCAGACAGACAGGATCTAAACAAAAACAGCTTGGCGGCACATTCCCATGCGAGTGCATTGGATTCAGCATGGCCTGCAAGATCTTTGTGAACTTCGCTTCTCGCCTGGGCCGCCAAAGAAAACGAGTGAGACACTGCTGGGGGGGAGGCGAAGTGGCCGGGGCATCGGCCTGCACCCTGTGCACCCTGTGCACCCTGTACCTTCTCTGGCAGACCTGTGCTCTGGGATTCAGCCCAAAAAAAGTCTACGTCTAAGCAGCCCCCGGCCTGGTTGTGCTCCAAGTCGTAGGGATGCATTGAGCCGAATGGGGACCAGACCTGGCAGGAGGACCGTGCCCAGCAATTCTGCGCTAGCCCGCCGGCTTTTCTCTCTATGCCTCCGGAACCAACCTCCGGCCGTGGGGACAGCGGAGGAAAGGTAGCCCAGAACTCCTTCAACAGAGGAGCGCATGCGAAAACCAACCATTGCCCAAACTTTATCGCCAGCATTCGGCAGGAGAACACATGACACCCCAGCAGACCTCCGAGCCAATTCGAGCCCGCCATTGCATATCTGCCTGGCAGCTGCAAAACCGAAAAAAAGCATTTGACGTGTCTGCCGTCTGCCCGGATTGGCGTCCTGCGAGGGACTGACCATCGATGTGCTCGGCATGGTTTCGTCAAACCGGTCTTTTGGCTTGCTCCCGTTGCGAACAACATGTGCTTCCAAGATAGCACTTTGCTGGCTTGACTCGATATCCTGCCGTCACTAACTCATTTGTAGTCTCGAGCAAGCATGGGCATCGGATTGGCATCGAAGGGGGAACGATTCTATTATGCTTTATGAATTCTTCCGGCAGGGGCTCCTTTGGACGTGTTCAATGTCCTTTGCAAGACCCCTCTCTGAGGGGAATCGGCCCGTGCTCGCAAAGTCTTGCACAGCACAGAGACACAGAGACACACAGAGACACGCTGACCATCGAGCAGGGTACCAAATCGATGAATCAGCGCTGTTGACAAGTCAAGCGCGTTGTGGCCTGCACAAAAAAATGCTAGCGGCCAGAGACCAAGCGTGGAACAGTCTCTGCTGCTCTCGCTTGTCTGCCACGCAGAATCCTTGGTCTTCTGTTTTGCCAAGCTGATTGGAAGAAGCACTGCCCTCCTTGAATGCTGCACTTTGCCGGAGCTTGTACCTAACTGCAATTCGCTGCAGTAGAACTTTTCCTGGACACCGGACAGCAACCTCTGGCAATCGCCCAAAAGTGTTGGAGACAGCCTATATGCTCAATGTCACCAGCGGCTTGCCAAACTTCCGGAGAATCAATTCTCGTCCTGCGTACCTCTCGCGACGGAGTTCCAGCGAGGACAAAGCCAACAAACTGCACAAAGCCGTGATAAGAGGTTTGCTTGCGGCAAACGGCATCTGCCTCCATGCTTGCGACAATCTGGACCTGAATTTGCAGCCATTCTGTTGGCGACAAAGACGTGCAACTTAAACGCTGCAGGTCGTCCCAGCGAGTGGAAAGATCGCACGTCCCTACCCTCTTGAGCTTCTGCTTGCTGGGACGATCCAGGCAGAAATGCTCCTGTATGCTGCCGTGGAGGCAGTATGTCAATCAAATCTTTGGCCTGTGCTCGGCAGGTATTTGGATGCCTGAGCGGCCGTGCCTAACAGCATCCGAGAGAGTAGATCCATTAAAGGGACCATGGGTACATAAAGACACCATCCCTCGAACTCGAATTCCATGCCGCTTCAGCTCATCGATGCCAGTCCAATGTTCGATTGACTTTGGTTGAAGCGAACTACTTCTCCGAAGGCAACAAAGCCTACGAATCAACCGAATCTCACAAGGAAGTGCCGGCTATGCACAGAGTGCCCCCGCCGCATAATCACGCAGTGTACATCGTAAAGCAATTTGCGTTAAACTGATAACTGATCTCACGCAACTCGTCCGATGCGGCAGCTTGAAATACCAAGCGCTGCTTACAGCGCTTGAGGGCACCGCTTCCCAACCCGAGGAGCCTCACGTCCAAGTATGGCAGGCAGTCCTTGGGCGGATCAGCGACACACCTCTGCATAGTGCGACCTACTGAAGCGGCAAAATCCGTCGAACAGATCTGTTGTCGGAGCTGTGTAAGGACTCCACAGACATGCTCAAGGGACGACCGCCTCCAAACAGGTTGCACTTCTGCGGCGTAACAGGAGCAGACAGACAGTCCTGCTGTGCTGAGACTTTGCCCACCTCAGGGAATCGAGTTGCTCCACATGAAGCCATGCCCCAGGCCCTGCGAAGATCTCGTTTGGAGCGGCGGCACTCCCGCTCCTCCGCGATCAGACCTTAGCCGATCCGCAAGCTCCGCTTCTGCTACCACAGGCCCGGAGTTTCCCCATGTCCACCTTGAAGCATATCGCCCTTTTGCTTGGCTCAGATGGTGAGCTTCAGCGTCCCTTCAACTTCTGGTATGCTGATCGGCCCGACGGCAGTCTCGAAACTTGGTGCACAGTATGGGACTGCCCATTCTTCCAAATAGCCTAAGGCCACAGGCCCGTCGTTATTCGGAAGCTGCAATGCGCTTGTGCCAGGGGACCATCGGGCAGCTCCTCTGGTGCATACAACGCCCCGGTCAATGCCTGGCAAGAGTCACGGCCCATGCAGCCAGTGGAATCCAGAACGACCACGCATTGCGCACAAGCAAACGGAAGCAAGTGCCTGATTCCATGCCGCGTGCAGCTTCTCGTGTGAGATCTTTGCAGCCGTGCTTGCGCTCACATGTTCCTTGACCCGTGGACTGTGCTTGATGACGCATTGCGAAAAGTACGACAATGCACAGTGAGACGGCTGCATCCGGGGCGCAGGGTTCCAGCAGAGAAGGCTGCCAAGGAGGCCTTGTCCGCTCCGCTATATAGCCGAAACCATCGGCACAAGGAACGAGCACGGATAGCTGAAAACTCAACTCTCATGCTCGTCCATGTTTAGCGGACATCAAGCAAAGCCAGGACACAAGCCAGCAAGGCAGCTCTGCGACCCCGCATGCGCGCCATGGCCAGGACTTCCATAAGCGCTGAAGCAAAAACAGTCGCAGGTGTTGTCGTGTTTGTGTTGTCGAGCCACAGAGTCGGAGTTTCCTGTTGCCACAACCCTTTGTCCGGTCCCCCCGTCCCGCCTCAGCGGCAAACCGCTCTGGCCTGGGAGATGCTTTCGGCTTTCGGCTCTCGGCTTTGGTCACCGCTGGGCCGCCGCGGCCCCGGCGCGGCGAAAGCTTTGGATCTCCTGCGACTGCCATATGCCACCCAATGCCACCCATATGCCAGATGCCCTCTGCACATCTTTTGCACTGCAGTTCACCAGGCGCTCGGGCAGGGGCAGGCCTGCTTGAAGCATTGTCGCAACTGCTGTTCACTGAGATCTGGCTCCTCTGCAGAGCTGGAGTTGAGCAGGACACAGCAGAGCCCGCAGCCCGCTCTGCGCTTTCTCTGCTTCCTGGTCAAATTCCAGGGTTATGTAGCCACGAGCCACGACCTTAGGCGAGCGCGCAAGCCGGGGTGCGGGGCAAGCACGCCTCTTTCTCACGATGCGCCTCTTTCTCGGGGTCACGAATTTCTGCAAAGAGAGGACGTAGAAGCACCTCACTCACGTGGAGGAGCAACCGCTACAAAATTCTTCACGGCTCAGAACTTCGCCTCTTCAACAGTTGCTCGCTCTTGAGGATTAAAGCGTAGCAGGCTTTCGATAGTCTCAACCTTAGAGGCTAGGGAGAAGCTGATCACACGGACCAGGGACGGCGGCTGACGTTCGGCTGAGGTTCCGGCAAGGGAAGGAGCGGCACTTGGCAAGCGAGGCGAAACTCCACATCCAAGGCCTTAGCGGAGCCGCGAGCTGAGCCGCGAGCGGAGCGCGTTCGCGCCCAGCTTGGAATCGGACGTGGCTGGAAGCAGCAAACGTACTTGCGGGCGTCCTGCAGCCGAATCCGAAGCCCATCTGCATCAGAAACGCGACGGTGTCCTCTCGCAGAAGCTTTACATCGCGCTCCGAGGGAGTGCCGATGACCTCTCGGACAAAATGGCAAAGGCGAGCCCGAAAAACACATACCCCCAGGCGGCCCACACGGCTTCCTTGCATCGGCCGATTCCCCAGACTGGGGCATGCAGATGGTAAGTTAGAAAGACCTTAGAAACCTCGGCTTAGTAGATGCCCATCACACTCCACAACAAGAGTGAGCATGCTGGAAACCAAGACAAACCTGAGCAGCAATAGCCCAATAGCTGGCGAAGCCTCAAAAATCATGTTGAGCTGCTCCTTGCATCCACCGGAGTGAAACGCCACATCCTGAACGGCACTGCAACATGGACTGATCCCGACTGACGGCTGCGAACGCACGGGATTCTGAGACTTGGGCATGTCTGTGTTGGCAGTCTGGTGATAAGGGATAGCAAGTCGATCCGGGAAACAGTGGACCGCGGTCCTCCAGAGGCAAAAAGCATCGCATCAGCGAAGGAGCAACCAGAGCGGCGGCCCGGGCCTCTGCAGGCTTTGGCTCCGTCATCTCCGCGAGCTCAAAGGCGATGCATCCCACGGACCACAGATCGATTGCCTCAGCGGCGCCCGCCATCCGCGCCCAGACGTTCCTCTGCAGTTCTGCGAAAGGCCTCGGTGTAATCATCGAGGAGGATCAGTTCAGGCCTCGACACGAGACGTGGTCGAATAGGATCGGTGCAGCGATAAGATACGAGTCATGGACGCTCGATAATATCGAGTGACGACATGCTGCGTCATGACTCGGACGGCCTTGCTTCAAACAATCGGATGGATTGCCGATGCCGTTGTCGCAATTAGAGATGCAGCTGCTCCTTGTCGCTGTGCTCTGCATCCTGATCCTCATCCAGCCTGTCAGTGCACAGCAGTGCGACTGAACCAGCAATGCGCTCCAGATCCGCGCTCTTCTCCAACGGCCCGCGCCAGCCCTGGCATGCGACATACGGACCGGCGAGGTCAACGGGCCCTTTTACTGAAGCCAGGCAGGCTTGCCGAAATCACAAATCTTGACATTGCAGTCCTGAGGACAGCGTGGAACGAACTTCAAGCAACTTTGGAAGAAGAATCGGCTTGTCCTGGTTTACAAGCACGTTGGACGGCTTTAGGTCGCGATGATAGATACCAGCAGAGTGAAGATATTTGAGTCCCACCTGGGCACGACACATCTGTGCCTACACCGGACATGTGATTGGGGGGAGGTCTCACAACAGCTCTTTCTTTGTGCCGCTCAAAGAGGGATGGCATCCGGATCACCGCTGTCGAGGATGTGTCATCAAGTGCACGGACATCCGGAAAAGCATCTCGAAGTTGTCAAAGCCCGAAGAACCAGTGGTGCAGATGCTTTTTACGTGCTCCCCCACCCGAGTCACGCAGATGGTGTTCAGGAACGTCAGCATGGAGTCATGGAGCTTTGCACATCAGCCGACCCCGGCTGTATTTCTGAGCGACAAGCGAAGAAACTCATGTTCACGATGAGATGTGGTACCGGGATCCTCATGGACAACCTTTTCCTTGCGGGCTCTGACCAGCCCGACTTGCAAACGTCGACGTGCTGATACCACCACACCACCACCGCCACCACCACCACCACCGCCACCACCACCACCACCTACCGCCACCAACACCCCCTCAAGGAAATCTGGCTTTTTGGTCCATGGGCCGACTCGGCAATTGAACTGTGTGTGCAAGCCTGCCTGACAAAGCTTAGTGGACACGCGTTCGGGATACTAAGCATGTGTGCTCGAATCCAGTTCTGCCAACGCAGCGGAGACAACTGTGCATGGTGAAAGCTTGCCCCTCGTAATCTCCGCACTGCTTGGGCTTCATCATACTTAGTCCCTTCGAAACCTTTCCTTCAGGCCGTTAGTGATGAACAATTTGTTTCCAACGAGGCGGTCCAGACACAGAAAACTCCGCCCCCTCACAGCAGCCGGCAGCCAGCCCTTCCGGTAGGTTGTAGCAAGTCGTGTCAGCATTGCTTAGGTTGTGAGGTTGGGGCCATGTGGCATTTGGTCAGAGCGTTACGCTTTAAGCTGACATGGAGAGGCCGGATCAACGTCCGGAATCCTTGAAATCGGTTCGGACACTAGAACTCACTTAGCCGGTTCCGAAGTCCTACGTCTCTCGATCCATGCAAGCCGCCAGCAGATGGTACAGCACGAACTTCACCTGGCAACAGGGCCCACTGCAAGGTTGTGGCTGCATTAGCACCGTTCTGCATTTTCTGCGTTGATATACTCCACTATACTACTACTACTACTACTACTACTACTACTACTACTACTACTACTACTACTACTACTACTACTGCTCCTACTACTACTACTACTACTACTACTACGACCACGACCACGACCACGACCACGACTACGACTACGACTACGACTACGACTACCACCACCACCACTACTACTACTACTACGACGACGACTATTGCTACTACTACTACTACTACTACTACTACTACTACTACTACTACTACTACTACTACTACGGCACACGCTCCCAGCGCCTATGTACGCCGTAACATGCGCAAGCCAAACATGTGGTATTTACAGCATTACTTGTCAGACCCATGCGGAAGCCGTCATCCCAACTACTTTCGCCAGGTAGGAAGAACCCACACCCTAAGCCTTACCCCCCACCCACCCACCCACCCCCCACCAGCCCCAAGACCAGCAAAGCCTGTCTAACAGTAGAGCCTGTCTAACAGCCAACCCTGTCTAACAGCAAAGCCCCTCTGTAGCAGTAAAGCCCCGCTGTAACAGTAAAGCTTGTGTAGCAAGAACCCTTCCCAAGACATAGTATACTCTTCCACATGGGCTTCCACTGGGGCTATTCCTGTCGTCAGAAATCATAGACGACCACTGAAGGCGAAAATGACCACTAAAGGCCAACAGGTACCAAGAGGCCAAAATCTAGGAAATTCACACAGGCGCCGGCGGCATTCCCTCTACTGCTACTACTTACTACTACTACACTCGATTCCTGTTACTACTACTACTACTACTACTACTACTGCCACCTACCACCACACTACTACTACTGCTACTACTACTGCTACTACTACTACTACTACTACTACTACTACTACTACTACTACTACTACTACTACTGAGGCGTTACACAATGTTCCGAAGGCAGTGGAAAACCCTCAGAGTCGCTAGCAGACAGGCTCGTCGAGCGAGGATCAAAGAGCTTGTCGACGTGGCGCAGCAAGCGGCAGCCCGACACGACATGCGGGAAGTGTATCGCGTAGTTCAGCTGCTTGCGCCGAAGCGTAAGTACGAGCCTGTGCGCATAAGGTCCTCTGACGGTTCCGTACTTACCAAACATGAACAATTCCAGGAGCTTCTGCAATACTTTAGTCAGGCTTTCTCGCGCACAGACCACTTCCCACATCAGTCCGAGCATGCAGATCTGCAATTGTCGGTGCCAGAGGTAGAGGCTGCAATCTGTAAGATGAAGCCCCATAAAGCGGTTCCTCCTAATAGTCCAGTTGCCGAGGTTTGGCAGATATGCCCCGGACCCTTTGCGCAATACTTAGTCCAACACTTAGCCCACTGTAGAATGCAGAAGCAGCCTCTGCCGACGGAGGCCACAGCGTGCACGTTGGCACTACTGCCAAAGCCGGGACGGCCGTCCAAACGGCCGCAAGACCTCAGACCCCTAGGACTCCAGGACCCGACCTCTAAGGTTTACGCCACTATACTTCGGGATAAGCTTGAGCCCTATCTTCTCCCATGGTTGGCCGATAAGCCCCAGTATGCCTACATACCTGGTAGATCGATAGACGAGGCCATCCTTAGAGTATGCCGCAACTGCGAAAGCATCCGGCAAGCCCAGCAGCGGGCGGGTCACACTGTGCATGCACAAAGGCAGGGAATTCCGCAGCCGAAATGCATAGGAGGAGCGATACTCAGCTTAGATCTCAGTCGCGCTTTCGATGAGCTGCCGCGTGCTGCTCTGTCTGATGCTCTCATTGCTGCAGGCGTGCCGTCCTCGCTCTGTAATGCAGTCCTCGATGTGCACGAACAATGCCAATACACCATACGTCATCATGAAAGTATTGGATCCTTCTCTATGGCCAAAGGAGTCAGACAAGGATGTGTCTTATCACCTCTGTTGTTTGCAGCTCTTACAGGACACTTCTTTCAAAAACTGCGAGAGAGGACGAACTCCACCTGGGCTGCACAGTTTGTGACACTCTTTGCAGATGATACTCTGCTCCAATGGGCAATAAATTCCAGTAAGATCTTGACTTCCTCTGCAGGAGCGTTGGCACAACTTTTCAGCTTTTCCAGGAGATGGGCATGACCGTGAATGCTGCAAAGTCGAAACTTGCATTATCCCTGCGAGGTGGAGTAGCCAAGAGATGGTTGAAGTGCCGCCGACAGCGAAGTGGGAAGGGTTTTGTAGTTAGCTTAGGCACGCCCGCCTGTCCTCTTAACATTCCCCATGTTCCCAGCGTTACCTACCTAGGGGTGGTTATATCCTTGGACAACTTCGAGCTTCGCGCCTGTCGGCATCGCATGCAGCTGGCAGGTTCGATACGACATCGCCTGCTCCGGCTTCTGCACTCTTCTAGTCTCTGCTTACGCACGCGTTTGGTCATGTACATGTCATGCGTTAGGAGTTCCATGCAGTATGGACTGCATGCGGTGGGCCTCACTACTGGTACCAATCGCTTACTTGAGCAGAAGGATGCTAGGTATCTTCGTGCCATAAGCAAGAGCCCAGCACACTTAACACATGAGTCCACTGACGCTCTCCGAGTCCGGTTGCGTGTAGCGTCACCGCATGCTGCCCTGAGTAAGCTTCTTGCCAATCGGGCAAAGAAATGCTCGTCTGATGTTGGTCGAGATGGGTTTGCTGAAAATCTAAAGCGGCATCAACTGTTAGTTGACACGGCACCAAGGATGTCGACGGCTAACAGTCAGCTCGTTGAAATCCCTGACTGCAATCCCGTCGCCTGCAACATCTGCGGGCTCTACTTTTCCTGCATGCGGATCATGAAGTCACATCGTACTCGAAAGCACGGCCGCACCCAACAGCCCGCTAGGCCCACAGGCACACAGTACACCATGCACACCGCAGATGGAATGCCACAATGCAGTCATTGCCGGAAAATCTTTACCAGGGTTGAAGGTTTAAAGAAGCATTTGAAGGGTTCTTGTCGAGTTCTTCATGCAGGCCAGCCGATTAACTCTGTTGCCAGCGATGTAGGAGGGGAGGTACCCCCCACACGTGGGGCACCGCTTTCTGGGTGCGCGCACCGGGTGTCCCCGGCAGCAGAGGAGGTCTCTGTGCCTCTGATAGACTGTCTAGAGTTTCGCGAAGCAGTGGCTAAAAACTGGAAGTCTGTTCTTGAACATCCCTCATATGCGGCCTCTTTGGGCAAGTACTGCATTCTGTGCTCGCAGTGGGTGTCTGCTGCTGGCGGCATCAAACAACATTTGAGACTATCGCACGCTGATGCCTGGTCACACAAGGATGAGGCCGCCTCCCGCTGCTCGCATTTAGGGCTCCACGCGGCGTCCCCCTGTAAGTACTGCTCCCTGACTGTCAAAACTCCCAAGGCGCACTTGGCAAACTGTATGTCAGTGTTTCAAGCATCACTGGCTTCCATTCTCCTTAGGAGTACGCATGGGCAGGCCTTGGATCATGGAGCCCGCGGATGCACAGATCGCGAGCCAGACCCGCCAGGAGGCCTTGGAAGTGTGGGGAGCGACACAACAGGCGCCGGCCGAGACGGCCGACCAGCCGATGCCGGAGGGATCCGCAGGGTCGCTTGCAAAATCCCCATAATGTCTGTTACCTTAATTCCGCAGCGCAGGCCTTTGCATGGACCGGTCAACTGACAGTGGATGAGGACTCCTGTTATGGTTCCGTTGCTTCTGCCATGAAGACAGTCTTGGATCCAGGTAGGCCGTATCTCCCCAACTGTTTTGCCTGGCACGCCCCCCTTCACACGTGGCCTAGACTCGCCTTCCAGCAGGACGTGTGTCAGTTCTTTCAGCACTTAGTGCAGAGTTCGCAATCACCAGCGTATCATGGATCCTGGCAAGCACGCCTGGAAGAGCCGTTCCAAGTAGTTGATGGAGGATCACTGCAAGCACCGATCCTGATCGACTTTCCAGCAGGCCTGGACACTCCCGTCAGCCTTGAGGTTTTGCTGTCTACCTGGCATGACCAGCATACTATTCATGCCATTGCTCAGCACTCTGGGGTTCTTCTGCTGCAGATAAAGAGGTATTCGGATGCACATGGCCAGCCCACCAAAAGCATGCGTGTTGTCAGGTGGGAGCCCGGTGAGCGTGTCGCCGTTCCAGTTTTCTGCGAAGAGCAGGGGGTCCAGATCCGGTTCGACTATTTTAGGGTTGCGTATGCAATAGTGCACGTAGGACCTCATACCAGCACTGGTCACTACCAGGCCGCACTTAGTGTCCCAGTCCCTGAGCCGGATCCGGAGCGGGAGAATGCCACGGGGTGGCATTGTGCACTTCTTAATGACAACACTCGTCCCAGACGCGCTGGACCGAGGGATCAGTCTTTACTGCAACAAAACTGTTATCTGATGGGTCTCATTTGGGATCCGGGTCAATAGTCTGGGCTCTGTTCAGGATGCACCGTTTCCGAAGCGTGAAGGTGCACCAGGGCAAAACAACGCTTCCGCCTCTCTTTGTACAGCTGTTAATGTCGCTCACTGTTCAGTCAAATCCAGCCTCTCATCCTTGTCATCTGTATGCACTGCATTTTGCACTCCGCCAGCACTGTCAGCAAGATTTTGTAGACGGCCGATCGACTGCCGCCGCCTCAGTCTTGCAGACTAGTGCCTGAATGGCTGCACATCGCGCAGTCACCGATGCTTGTCTGTCGGCCGTTCTGAGAAACTGTGTCTCTCAGCCCCAAACATGGCGGCGGTAGGCGTGATTGACCTAGGGCTCCCGCCCTCCATATATCATGATGCTCTCGAGGAGTTTTTGTTACTCGAGGCTCTGCGCGAAAGCTAGGCTCAGTCTGGTAAGCAGGCACCGCAAGCTCTATCTTTGGCACAGCGCAATGACCTGTTACAGTATGCCAAGTTTCCGCTCGAGCCGGCACGTTTCAAATCACTTCTTGAACATGCAGAAGTTTTGGGCCGTAGCCAGCCCTCAATCTCTCTTGAGCTTCCGAGGCAGGTCTTCAGCTCGGTTCCGCCAAACAGCTGCGCTGAACGGTTTGCTCAGATGGTGTTAGCGGAGGAACAGTGCTCGATTTGGAGTGCTGCTCGCCTCATCCTCACCAAACTTGAATACAAACTTGTCAAGCGAGTTGCAGCGATTGGAAACCAGTATGAAGCCCGCTACGGTGCCTATGGTCATCACTCGTTCTGCGGCATTGCCCAGGGCACGGTCCATAACCGTGCGGTGTGTGTACTGCTGAACTTACTGGTGCGAACTGTTCGCCCAGATCACCAGTGGACCACTCTGGTGATTACCAAGAACTGTGGAGTGGGTGTCCACCTGGACAAGCAGAACGCACGCCTTCCTTCCCTTGTCATTGGGATGAGCTACCCCCGTGACGGCGAACTCTGGGCTGCTGCCCCAGACGGGGATATTTTCGAAGAATACGAAAATCACATGATACCGGGACACCTGTACCCGACTGCCATGAATGCTCTGCTGTTGAATGCTGCCACTCAGCTGCACGGACCAACGGCATCTACTGAAGGCGATCGGGTGCTCCTGATTGCATATGTGATTGGGCAGCATCGCTCTCTCGAACGACCGGCACGTGCTGAGCTCGAGCATTTAGATTTTGTTCTGCCCCCATAGGTCGGGTTACCTGTGCCCACTTCCCGTACTGCGTCTGTCTTGCCCTCCCACTCGGCTGTGCTGTTATTGAGGGTTCGCTTTAGTACTGGCGGGCACGCGCTAGATACCAGCCCCAGGCATGACCAAAAAGGTGCGGGACACTCCCATGTGCATTCTGATCACCATGCACACGTTGCACTGGCCTTCAGCTTCCTGAGAATCGGTCATGCAGTTGTGGTGCTCAGCATGCACTGAAAACTTAGCCGTATATCGACCGGTTGTGCTCTTTTCCACTGCCAGCTGCTACTTAGGCCATGGCCACTCGCCCTACGCGTCGACACGTGGCTAGCAACGCGACAGACACTGCTGTTGCTCTCAGGAGTTGCGCCACAGCCGGCTGCCAGTTTCGGTATCCGCAGTCCATGCATCGTCACTGTTGCGGTGTGTGTGTGCGCAGACACGAGCTGCTTTGCATAGTCGCAGATGCCTTCATATGCAGCGGACGCTAGCCCGTGAAAGGGTGGTTCCAAGGACCTTCAATCGCATCTGTCAGGTGGCGGGTTGCTCTCGAGCTGTGGGCAATGGCTTCTCAAGTTGCTGCAGCGAGTGTGGGTTTGGAGGCCACTCACGTCGATGCAACTCCACATGGCGGCAGATACATGAAGTCAACATGGAGGTTCTGGAATCTGGACTGGCTGGCCTGACTACTGGTTCCAACTCCACGCCCCATGTCGCAGGAGCCTCGAACGAGATTGACCCCGTCCTAGCTGAAGGAGTGACCACTTGTACAGATGGCGGTGTGGGTGCTATGAACTCGTCGGCTGCACTGTCGAGTGATAGCACTGACACTTGTCATAGTGCTCATGGTACGACAGATGTAGGGCCGGAACCCGTACCCTCAGCCGAAGCTGTGGTGCAGGATTCCGCAGATGACATTTTCGACCTGGCTGCTCTTGACTGACAGTTCCAAGTTTCATTGTCTTGATCGATCTGGCCACTCATGATCATGATTGATCTTTGGCTTTTTCTGATCCTCAATCTTTGATGTGGGCCGTAACAACGCGGTGAGGCCACAGAGTCTCCGGAGCATGTACCTACATGCCTCTGCCATCTCCCTCGCTTTCATCGAACATACGGTGTGCGTCCTGAATGAATGAATACTACTACTACTACTATTACTACTACTACTACTACTACTACTACTACTACTATTGCTGCTACTACTACTACTACTACTACTGCTACTACTACTACTTTTACTACTACTACTTCTTCTACTACTACTTCTTCATCTGCTCCTACTTCTACTAACTACAGTAGTACCACTGCTGCTTCTCATCCTCCTCCCCGTCCTCCCCCTTGCTTCTAATTGTACTCCTTGCCCCTTATGCTACTCCTACCCCTTCTGCATAAACAGGCATAGCAAGGGAGACTTGCCCAAAAACCGCAGAACCCTGGCGAGCTGTCAACTCGCTCGTTTTTGAGTGAGGCCGATTGCACAGTGACTGGCAGTACATGGCAGTCATGTACAGGGAATAGCCAGGTCAGTCAAAGTTTGAACAACGACACGGAACTACAAGAACTGGATTGATCAAGCTTACTCCACACAACCGAGTGCTGGTATAAGTAGTGGCTGCTTTTGCTCGTGGTCGTACTGTATGACCTATGACATGACACATGCCGCTTCTCTACGTGTACAGGTATTGGTAAGCGTAGGGATAGGAGCAGGAGTAGCCTAACGGGCACGGAGTACGAATAGAAGCAAGGGGGAGGAGGGGGAGGAGGGGGAGGAGGATGAGAAGCAGCAGTGGTAGTACTGTAGTTAGTAGAAGTAGAAGTAGAAGAAGAAGTAGTAGGAGAAGTAGTAGTAGTAGCAAAAGTAGTAGTAGTAGTAGTAGTAGTAGTAGTAGTAGTAGTAGTAGTAGTAGTAGTAGTAGTAGTAGTAGTAGTAGTGGTAGCAGCAGCAGCAGTCGAGTGTAGTAGTAGTAGTAGTAGTAGTCGTCGTCGTAGTAGCAGTAGCAGCAGTAGCAGCAGTAGCAGTAGGTTTAGTAGTAGTGGTGGTAGTAGTAGTAGTAGTAGTAGCAGGAGGGGGCCAATGCCGCCGGCGCCTGTGTGAATTTCCTAGATTTTGGCCTCTTGGTACCTGTTGGCCTTTAGTGGTCATTTTCGCCTTCAGTGGTCGTCTATGCTTTCTGACGACAGGCCATTGAGATTCAGACGAGTACCCCACACGACAGGTTGCGACCACTATGCCGCACTTCAGTCTCCCAGACCAGAAGACTTCAACCAGCTCGACGCCTGGAGCTCCTCCAAGTGCACCTGCAGCTGTTCCGCGGAAACGAGAGCCATACAGACTTCGCCGCTTCGATTCGGTGCAGTTCGCCTGCTGTCGGCACAGAGTTTTCAGATCTGCATCGCCAAGCTCCATGACCTGACAATGGGAAGCTTCACGTCAACGAGCAACGCGCTTCACAGCCACCATGTATAGCTCATCGAATCTTTCTTCGTCTTGCGGCATAATGACCTCAGCACATACAAGCTGCCAAGAACTCCAACAACTCACAGAACTTAGCCAAGCATCGTCATGAAGCTGCACTATGTAAGGGTGGTCCTGCAGACAGGCATCATGCGCCCCTTTACACCGTCAGTCTGCAGGCTGCGTGTGCGGTCCAGGCGCTGTAGTATAGCAATTTCTCGCAGAATCCTCTTGCAGTTGATCTTATTGCTAAACCTTGCCGTGGCAAGCACAAGACTTACAGCCGCAGTCTAATCTAGTCTAAACCGCATGGACCAACTCATGGCAACGACTCTCCACATCCGAGGTATGAACACAGAGTGGATTCTCTTCACAGCCACCATGCGACCAGCATCTTTATCCAATGCCTTGCACGGAAAGGCTTGTCCTGCTGTCAAAATGATCGGGCCTTTATGCAGATTCGATTGACCCGTGTCTGAGCACCGCACTTCCCGAACGGTGCCATACGAGCCTCGTGATATCTTGCGATCAGTGCCAGCACCTAAAGCTCTGCGCCATAGCTTCAGGCTGGCGCCTGTGCCGATTCTGCCTCTGACATCGTAGCAACCGGGCAGCTTCCATGCCGCAGCCTTCCAGAATCGGCTTCGCATTTACGGATCGGACCGTCGGAGGGGCTGGGCGGCTGGGCGGCTGGCCTTCAGGGAAAGCGGTGGCCGGGCTGCACGGGCTGCATTGGGATTGGGCCTCGCTGCACGTTTTCTGACAACGAACGGCAAGAAGGGACGAAGCCTCGGGAGCGCACTCCGAAGATTTAGCGTTAATCGGGGAGCCTGTGTGCGTGAAGCAAAGAACGAGAGTGAGCCAGGATGTGTGAAAACATGCCCCTACTGACCTGCATGAATATGTCACGATGCAAACATGATGACACCTGGGCTGCATGTGCTCTGTCTATTGCGGCATAGCCGGAACAGGGAGGAGTGAGCAGACAAGATTGGAACAGGAAGGCAACAGCATGGGGCATGGAGGCATCACCCGAGCAGATTGCAGCCGTGAAGAGTTTCCCAAACACGCCTGGCTGTGTCTTCTTACGTCGATGTTTTCGGCCCGTCTTCCCAGCGCCCTGGCAAGAGACACCAACATCGACCAGAACATGGAAGTTCCACAAGCCCTCGAAAGACCTCGCCTGTGTCAAGAGCGTTAAACTGCCAATCTCGGCATCGCCGACCTGACTGAAAAGCCAATCCAACTCAAGCATTGTCCGTGAGGCTTCAGCGAATCGAAATGAGTCCAAGGCTTCCATTTCGAGTGCCGGACTCCCGGCACTTGTCGCCCTTGAGCCGACTGTGCAATCACAAGCTCAGTTTCAGCCTTCTCACATGCTCCGAATACCCACCGGACGAGAATCTTGCGCTTGTGTATGCTGGCTCGGAAGTACACCGCTCCTACCATCGCACGTTGCTGTCTCTCAGATCATACCAGAGAGAACTATCAAACATACAAACATAGCTGACACTGAATAGTCTTGACCAGCCACATCTCTCCGGTTTGCCATGTCTGACAGCAACAGTGTCAAGGGACAGATTGCTTAAAGTTGCCACAACAAGGTGCGGATTCAAATCTTGCAAAGGCCTAACATGACACCACGAATCATCTTTGCAGTCAGTGGTTAAGTTAAGCTCGCAAAGATGTCCCATGCTTCAGGACTGCAAAGCGACTTCTCAAGCAGGCATCTACGGAAAATGGCCCGCCATGCATCATGTTAAACTGCATGACATGAATTGCACGTGGGCTAAATAGCCAAAACCACTTGGGTGCAGAGTCAAGGCTTCAAGGGCGCAGGCGCTTGCCATCTTTCATTGCATGTACTGGCCACCCGACGCCTCTTGCTCGCATCCAATGACCACTTCGGGATGTGTACAAAGAGAGTGATAGCCCCTCCTGCTATGCCTTCTCACTTGGTTTCCATGTCGGATCTGTACAACAAGTGAAGAACCTCGAACAAGCTCATGCGGAGAAGCTGTAGGCCCTCAACAGCTCTGACCTGATGCTGCCAAGAAGCTGGCATGCGAAGTGCACCACGCCATGCCACAAACGCTGACGCACAGCCAGCTTTGCATAAATGGGGCAATCCCGTGGCAGCGGCTGATGTGCCACAAGGCCCAATTGAATGTAAAGAAACCTACATGGCTACCGGCCTGCTCTTCATCCAGAGCAGCCACCGTATATATCAACACTGACACACAAGGAGAACGAGAACAAGCTTGCAGAGCAGCACGGCACACGTCTGCTACATGCCTGCGCAAAGCAGCTGTGCAGCTTCCCACACAAAGCGCTGCATGCCGCGGGCAGCTTGGCCCAAGCTCATGTCGGGCCAGATTACAGCAGTTGCAGCGCTTGGGCTGCCCCTTTCCGAAATCAAAGAATCATCTCACAAGACTGCTGATGTCGCGGGACAGGACTTTGCGCCATCTGCATCAGCCTAAGCAGATGGCCATCCGCGTGCTTAAGCGTCCGAATGTCGGAGTCGAAACTTGCTTCGAAGGCATTGCGAACCGTTCCGCTGAGCTTCTGACCAACCACTCTGCAAGCATTTCTCTGCCTTGGCTCAGGGCTCACCCCAGAGACCCATCCCAGCCCATCTCCATGTCAAACACTGCTTTGGGTCGCCATCCGCCATACCAACGCGAACCGAGCGACACTTGGTCGTGAAAGAGGATCCACGCTGAGCATACTCAAGATTAGCTCCATTGCCTGCAGGACGGAAAATCACACCGGATGGGCTGGGTGAGTGCGCATTGCAGCCTCGCTATCGCAGAGTGGCTTTTGCCAGTGCCGCAACAAGTCCTGCGCGCTGCGAAGAACGGATTGCAAAACAGCATCCTCCACGCGTGGACCACCCGGGCACTTTGATGTTGCTCCTTCAATCCATTCTGCTGGTTCTTGTAGACGTATGCAAAGAACTCGTCGCTCAGCTGTGCGCTGACCCAAGGGCCATTGCCGTAGCCTGCTGCAGTCTCTGAAAGTTTGCGTGAGGTTCACTGCGGATCCTTCTGGCTGCATGCACCGCATGTTGCAGTCTGGAGCCCCGGGCTCATACAGAAGAGGCATATGCCTGACGGTCTTCGATAGATCGCAGCCAACACGTGCCAGATCCCTAGGGGCATTTGCTGTCCAATAAGATCCGTGCCACATGCAAACACATCCGCCGGCTGAACGGCGTAGCCTGTTGGAGTCGGTCTCTGAGGATAGCTTCGGGTGTTGATGTCCATGTTGTTGTTGGAATGTCTACAGTACGTGAAAGAGAGCGAGATGCGTACTAGCTGTGTTGCAGATGGGCATCATCAGTCCTAACACCAACTCAAGCAGCGCAAGCTTGAAGCCAGAACTGGCGATGCAGTCTCGAAGCTCAAGCATTAGAGACCGATCGGGAGGAAAGATTAGCTTTTGACAAAGCGGGCGAGCTCGCGATTCGCAAGGGCCGCGGTTGTCACGTTGAGTCTGGCATACCGGAAGCTAGAAATGCAAACCTGGAAGTTGTTTGTGTTGTGCCGTGACAGAGTCCGAGTCACGAGCGAAATGTGTGCTCGGTTCGAGTTGGCTGCCCATCCATGAGCGACGATTCTTCGAGGCGATGGCATGGATAGAGGACAGACACTGCCTGACACTTGCCTCGTGCAGGCTCTGCGCAGGAACTGACAGCGATCCTATTGAGTCAATGGTTGATGGCGTGGCGAAAGTGGAGAAACCTACGCTGGCCGTCTGAGGGATCTCGATCTAGTGCGCTTCGCTGAATGTCGTGGACAATTTCGCGCTTGAAGGAGAAGTCCCCAATACCACCGAACTGGCCCCCGCCCGCGCCCTCCACTGCACAGAAGTAACTGTCAAGACCACGCAACGTCAGCTTTGAGCTTCCAGCCCCAGTTCTCCGCTTGGCAGGCCTGACCTGACGTCGTCGAGCTTGAGGCAAGGAATGTTCTAAAAGCGTCCTGACTAGAGGCACGAATATTTCAGCAGCTTGGGCCGCGTCCGGGCGTCGCACTGGACGGCAAGCGAACCTGAAAGGATTCAAGGTTTAACGCAGCCCGAGCTGACAAGCTGGCCATGCTATGCCATGCTTGCCTGCCAGATTCCCTCGTAACCTCTGTGCATGATGATGTCTCCAGGTCTGGCTCCTGCTGGGACTATGACCTTGGCTCCCAGAGCTCGCGAAGCCGATAGCCTTGAGGCCTGTATGGACTTTAGCATGAGCAGCCGGCTCTCGCATCTGGTTGGCGTGGCACGAAACATTCTGGAGCTCGGTAGGTATCCTTGCCCGCCTGCGCAGCTATACCATCGAATCTCTGCATCACTGCATGCTGCAATTTGCTGCGGCTGTGCGGCAGGAAGGAAATAGCGGAGCTCTTGCCCGGTGGCCGAATGACCTCACGAACTGCAGCCTCACACCTCATGAACACGGAGGCTGAACTTGGCTGCCAGCTTTGAACCGCATTTCCAAAATCCATGAGCCTCTCAGGTCAGTTTGGCTGACCGACCAAAAAACACAAGGCTCGCCCCGCTCTTGGATCTACTGTCTCTGCTAAATCAAAAGCCAAGTCAGTCTAGTCCAAAAAGGAAAAAAGCACTTGCAGACCACTGCAAGCAGCCACGGTGTGTCCCATGGACAGATTCATTTATACCTTGCAAATTTTCAATCACTTACCGCGGCTTAAGGTCGAAACCGTGGGTCTGCGCCGGGTCGCAAAGACAAAGCAGAAAGTTGCAGAAGCCATGAGCTGTGTGGAGAAATTGGAACGAGAGATGGGAAAGATGAAGACTTGGTTCTCACCTAGGCTGTCGAAAACGTCTAATACTGTATGTCGTCCCGGGAAGAGGCCAGGGTGGTTGACGAAGCATTATATCAAGTTGAATCTTGCTCCGCCGAGCCCAAAATATGCGCACAAATCTCGCAATCCAAGTTGACCTTCGTAATGTGTCAAAGCGAAGCACACTGTATCGAATTAATCAAAAGCATTAGTGATTGTTGAACCTGCGTTTTCACCTGTCTTCGTCGAGGTTGGTTTGCCTCTTGAAATGGATGGCTCTCTCACTTTTTTCGCAGCTGGACAACTTCTCCCTTGTGCGTCGCCTGGAAGCTAGGAACGACAGAAGCGAATGTACAAGGCTTCAGAAAATAAGGGCTCCAGAGGGGCCTTCGGAGTTCAAAGTGCAGCCGAATTTTTCGGATGACACGATGCTCCACCCCGGGCGGGCAGGGAGGGCCCAGAAAAGCTGCAGCAGCGAGCGTTTCGGTCGCAATCCATGAAGAGACATGGATGGCTCTCGCACTTTTTTCGCAGCTGGACAACTTCTCCCTTGTGCGTCGCCTGGAAGCTAGGAACGACAGAAGCGAATGTACAAGGCTTCAGAAAATAAGGGCTCCAGAGGGGCCTTCGGAGTTCAAAGTGCAGCCGAATTTTTCGGATGACACGATGCTCCAACTGTGCTCCGTATTTCGAATGGACTAAGTCCGCAGAAGCTTCGACTCGTAGAGACTCAGAAGAGTAGCCGCGAAAGGCGCCAGCTCGAGCACAGCAGAGCGCTGATTCTCTGTCAGGTCGGTCAGTAAGAGCTGCCCCGCAACGTCCTGCAGGTAGTGCTCAACGGTGCGCTTTTGTTGCCATCTGCCACGCCATTGAATCCGACCAATGTCCTCGGTCATTTGATAAAGCCAAGTGGCACCTGATCCGCGAAGGCACTTCGGAGTGATGCCGCGCTCATTGTCACCAACCGGCACGCCTAAGTGCTGAAACAAGTAGTCCCAGCGGCGGCGAAAAAACGCTGGGGGAGCAGTTGAACAACAGCTCAGCTCTCGAAGAAGGGCCGTACAAGGCTTCAAGAAACCGAACCGCGAGGACATCGGAGATCTTTGCATGTTGGCGCTGCAGAAAACGCTTTGTTTTTGCTCCCAGAATGCGGACGTATGCAATGGGGGTGCTGGTAAGCAAATCGCAAGGAAGAATAAGATCCCTTCGCCGAAGCTTGAGAAACTCCCCAGGCGGGAGGAGACCGTGGAAGCCCAAAAGCAGAGCTGCTGTGAAGTAAGGCCAGCCCCAAAGCAGAGCTACACACACCGCTGCTCTGTAAACCGCCTCAGGAATTATCATGGATCTTTCCTGCGGCTCTTCTTCTTCCCAGCGAGAAAGCACTCCCCAAGCGGCCGCAAAGTAGCTGCGAAAGTGCTTAAAGCGATCGGTGCAGCTATTGATTGTCTCTGAGAAAATGTACTTTGGAGATCCCGAATAGAAAAGGTGCTTGCCGTAC